GTGGGTTGAGCGGGTGAAGGGAGGCGAAGGGCCACGGGTCAGGGTCAGGAGCTGGTAAGAAACGTGCATTCCTTTCCCTCATCCTACCACACTTTAAACACTGTCCCTCTCCCGCTCTCCTGGGGCCCCCATGTTCCTCTGGAAGGCTGAGTCAGCACAGTGTCTCTCTGTCTGTCCACACAGAGCTGTGTTCTTCGCCTCCATGCTGATGCGCAGGACCATGGTGTCCCGGGTCAGGGCCACAATCCTCTTTGCGACGGAGACAGGAAAGTCAGAAACGCTGGCCCGGGACCTGGGGGCCTTGTTCAGCTGTGCCTTCAACCCCAAGGTAGCCGGCTCAGCTGGACATGGGCCTTTTTTCTCTGCCTCTGTATAGACAAGTTGGCAAAAGTTAAAATGGTTGCCCTGCTTCTGCATGTCCCAGAGCCTTGGATGTGCTGATCGTACATTGTAAATTTGTGACAGAAGGATAGATGTGTGTCCAGGGATTCCCAAATTTACATAGCACACAATTTTTCCATGGTGTCCCAGGGAACACAGTTTTGAGAAATGCTCTCCTAACCCAAGTCTCAATATCCGTGAGCTCCTGTAGATGGATTCTATTCCTATTTACTCAACACCTTCCCTACAGGGCACAGTGCTAAACGTGAGGGGGGCAAAGGATGAATAGGAAATAAAACAGAACCCCAGAGGGTGGCTCATTCATTCTGTCAGTGTTGGATTTTGTCCTTCTTGGACACTTCCCACGTCACGTGGGCGTGCATCAAACAGGGAGGCGGTGACATGTGTCACCTGAGATTAGCTTCAGGCGAAGCATTCGGATCCCCGAGGCATTAAAGGATCGTCATTTTTGTAACACGCTCATCTCATTTTTGTGGAAAATACGTCCACACACTTCAGAATTCAAAATAGCAGTGGGAGCGTTTTGACTGGGGGCCTGCAGGGTTTCGGAGACGAGCCCTCCCCGGCTTGTGGACGTGCTGGCGGTGGGGCTTGCGTGGGGCCGGAGGGTGGGGAGTGAAGTGTTCATGGGGTTTTATTTGATGGGGATTCGTGGAGCACCCACCTCTGTGCCACGCTTGTGCTGGGCCTGGGGGAAACGGATGATGAGGGGGGCTCCTGGCCTGGGTGGGGGAAGGGAAGCACAGGGTGTCTGGGGATGGCGTGGAGGGCTGATGTTCTCCCTTGGGACCCTGCAGGTCCTCTGCATGGATGAGTACAAGCTGAGTCATCTGGAGGAGGAGCAGCTGCTTCTGGTGGTGACCAGCACGTTTGGGAATGGAGACTCCCCCGGCAACGGAGAGGTGGGTGGCCTGGGTCCCAGTGGTCGGGGGTGCCAGGGCCCGAGGGGGCCAAGAAAAGGATCTGGGCGATTCAGCCTGCCCCGTGGAGGACATGTGGAAGTGAGTGCTCAGAGCACTCTGGGCTGCCCTAGCCCCAGCATTTGGCTGCCTTCTTCGTAATTATCACCATATGTATGTGACCCCTTTCCTAGGACGTACTTTATATTTTTAAGTAAGTTTGACCCACCTTTTTTAAACTCAAAAATTCATGTGTAAAGGAAACTTTGTATCATCCCCAATGGAAAGCCGACAAAAAATAAATCCAATGAAAGCCACAGTTCTTGAATTTTTGCTAGACACTGTTGCCTGAGCATAGCTTGCTTTGTGTTTTAAAATGAGCAATGGCCGAGTATTAGAGGTCTTCGGGCTCCAGAAGCTCCAAGCTGAGACTCTCCCTAGTTTTCAGAAAGACGATAATAATAATAGAAACAGGAATAACTAAAAAAAAATTACAGAAAAGAGAATGTCTTACCATATGATTTGACACTGTATCATATTTCACCTAAAGTTATCTTGAGTTCGTTGGAAATCAGGGTTATCTTAGAGAGTACGGGACCAGTTGTCCTATTTACCAGGTTCCAAACAGGAAAAGAGGCTATGCTCCATTAGGAGACCTCCTGGAGATGCCGGGCTCTCTCTCTACCAGAGCTGGATGGGGCTGCGCTATTCGGCGCTACAGGCCCACACGAGTTACTAAGGCTGAACTGGTCCTTGAGCCCCAGCCAGTAAACTGACTTCCGTTTGTGGATCCTAAACCTTCTTCTGCCAGATGTGGCCAGTTTTGAAGTGGGCCACCAGAAGAAAAGTAAAAGCAGTGCTTTTATGAATCTTGTCCCGAGAACTTGGTGGTTCTCTCTCTTTCTAGAAACTGAAAAAATCTCTCTTCATGCTGAAAGAGCTTACCAACAAGTTCAGGTAAGGCTTTTCCCCACTCACACTTGTCCAAGCCCTGCCTTATGGACCTAAGGGTTCTGGGACCTGGGTTCCAGGGAGGGTACCGGTTGTGTATAAGGGGGGAGTCTCGTCCAAGATGTCCAGGCACAAAGAGAGCCTGTCCTCAGAGTGTGTCGAGGGTCAAGCCGGGGAAACTAAGTCCCTCTCATAGGTCTGCAGGCTGAGCATGGGATGGGTCGTGGGAGTTGGTGACAGTTGTGGCTTGGGAGCTGGAGAGGACCTGAAGATGGCGTGCACTGACCGGTCCTGTGCCCAGCTGGAGTGGGGGTGTCTGAGGCTGGCTTACGGGCCGGTCGTGCCATGTGATGCTTGCAGGGGTGAGCTCACTCCAGTCTCCATGTGGGTGTCCTCCTCGGGCAGGTATGCTGTGTTTGGCCTCGGCTCCAGCATGTACCCTCAGTTCTGTGCCTTTGCTCATGACATCGACCAGAAGCTGTCCCATCTGGGGGCCTCTCAGCTCGCCCCAACAGGGGAAGGGGACGAGCTCAGTGGACAGGAGGAAGCCTTCCGCAGCTGGGCCGTGCAAACCTTCAAGGTCAGTTCTTAGCTGGAGCTGCCCCCACAGCAGGGACGGGGAGGCCACAGCCCATTCCTGCCCAGAACTTCTGTGCCGGGCATCCTGGGTAGGCCTGACCCCTGCCTGGTCCTACAGGCACGGTCCTAGGTGTGGCCTGAGGGCTCAGGTCATTGCTGCTCTCCCTCAGTGCCCCCAGAACTCCACTTGAAGCATGCATCCCTGGGTAGGAGAAGAGGGCTGAGACACCTCCCGTCCTCCAGGAACTTTGGTTCCTTCCCCCTCTGATTACCCAGGTCACCCCTCGATGACTTTGCCTTGTTTCAGTCTCCCAGCCACAGAGAGCCTGGGGACAGGGACCATGCAGTGGAGTCTTTGGACCTGTGTCAGAATCTCAGTAGGGCTTTGCTCCCTGTGGCTTGACGCCCCTGATTTAAAGAACTCCTCATTGGGGCGCCTGGGTGGCTCAGTCGGTTAAGTGTCCAGCTCTGGATTTCAGCTCAGGTCATGACCTCGGGGTCATGGGATTGAGCCCCATTTTGGCTCTGTGCTCAGCAGGGCATCTGCTTGGGATTCTCTCTCTCCCTCTGCCCCTCCCTGCACTCACTCTCTCTCTCAAATAAATAAAATCTTAAAAAAAACAAACTCCTCATGTAAGCAGAGCATTTCACCCAGCAGTGGTGCTTAGAGCACCAGCTTGAGTCAGGGCAGACTTGGTTCCCAGGCCCACACTGCCTGCATGTGACTCCACACCAGCAGCGTGGGAGTTACCCAACCTCAGGGGGTGGGCATGTGGGTAAAGTGAGATACTGTCAATATTAACATCCATGCGAATAGTAGTAGCAACTCTTGTGCCGAGCCCGGCCACCTCTTTGAGTCCTCACAGTGGCCCAGTCTGACCCACGTGCTTAGTAATTATAGGAAGCGCTTCACCGATTTGTAAGGACCTACAAAATGGTGGCCCCATTGATGGGGATGACGTCATTGAGGATGACAGTGACCGTGGTTAACACCGGTCTGCTCCCTCTTCTTCCAGGCGGCCTGTGAGATGTTCGATGTGCGAGGCAAACACCACATTCAGATCCCCAAGCTCTACACCTGCAGTGTGACCTGGGACCCACAGCACTACAGGCTCGTGCAGGACTCGCAGCCTCTGGACCTCAACAAAGGTACCTTTTGCTCCGCACTGCACGGGCCCTTCCTGCTGGGGTGGAGGTCTCTGCGCCCAGAGTCTGTGGTCGAGGCGACCACTAGGACCCTCTGAACGGAGGCAGCTGGCCTAGGGCTGCCAGGCTCTCTCTCTTGTTGGATCCGAGCGCCTGCTGGGGTGCGAGGCAGGAGAGTTTGCTTCATCTCTGAGGGAGGCTGTTTCAGGAGGAAGCCCCGGGCGGGTGGTAGAAGAAAGGGGAGCCAGCACCCACTGAGGGCCTCCTGTGTGCCAGGCACTGTGCTGCGCTCCTCGCCTGCCCACTCTAAGCGAGCCCTGACATTCGTCTTGCACGAAGGGCCCAAGGACCTGAGCCCCTCGCTGGCTCAGCTGGTGGGGGCATCCGACTCTTGATCTCTGGGTCGTGAGTTCGAGTCCCATGTTGGGTGCAGAGATTACGTAAAAAAGGGGGGGGCACAAAGAAACTAAAGCTCGGGGAGGTGAAGCAGGTTGCTAGCATGTGGCCAGGCTGGGATTTGAGCCCCGGCTGTCCAGCTCTGACAGCAGCCAAGTATTGTAAAGAACATCCTGTGGAGGCAATCCCAGGCTGCTCAACGGTGGCTTCTGGACTCTGGGCCTCCACGATTCCTCTTTTCTGGTACCACGAGTACAGCAGTTGTGTAGCTTTCTGTGTGTTTAGGATACCCCCAAGTTCAACTATGCTCTCCCGCAGATGCCAGGCCATGGGGGTGGCCTAGAAATGCCCCTCTTTGGGCACCTAATGCATTCCCCTCCCCCCCCCAGCAGCAGCCCAAACACCCCTGTTAGACCAAGTGTCTTTATTTGTGATTCAGAAACATGGCGGGGAAACAGCAAAAGAAAACTCTACCCCACCATCACAGCGGGACGCCCAAGGGGTAGTGTCCAGGCATAACTGACTCAGACTCGGGGAGGCTGACCCGTATCAGCGCTTAAGAGCCACTCTGCCACTTCATCCTTTCTGTTCCCCACAGCCCTCAGCAGTATGCACGCCAAGAACGTGTTCACCCTGAGGCTCAAATCACAACGGAATCTACAGAGTCCCCAGTCCAGGTAGGGGAGACCGCGGGGCTGCTTGGGTGATGTTCCACAGGTTTAATATAATGAAGGAAGGACCAGAGCAAGTCAGTCTTTGAAAGGAGAGAAGTGTGCACTGGCATTAGCCATGATGTCATGGGTAGGACCAGCTTGGCCGGTAACCCCTGTGACCTTCGGTGCCTTTAGGTCTGGTCTCCATTAACTGCGGGCCAGTCTTCCAGCTTAAGAACTAGGCATCTGCTTTACTACCGTCCTTTGTCACTAAACCCTTTCACCAAAGGTGGAGGGCGGCGGGCAAAGAGAAACTCAAACCATTTGGCTCTTTCTTAAGAACTTTCAAGAACATTTTTGGCAGGGAAGGACATTGCCCTGTCAGGAGAAACAAGTGTTGGGAATTCCGTGTAGGTTTTGTTTTCATGTGCTTTCCCATTCATTAGGAAAACCGGGCTTTGTCCTAATAAGAGCCAGATTTGAGCCGGGGACAAGGAAGGGTTTGTCCCAATGACCACAGATCTCCCAGGGGGTGCTTTCTTTAGGTGGAGGGTGTGGTCAAGCCCAGGGGGGCTTGGGAGTGCTGCCAGGGAGGGGGCCACCCACCCTCTCCCCACAGAGAAACCCCAGCCCCGGTGGGCCCCAGGCCCTCTTGAGCACCCTAGCTCTAGGGGATGCCAACAACCCAACCCACTCCGTGCTCACCGAACTGAGAAGGAAAATGAAAACAGGGCACATTTCCTGGCAAAGTCAGCCCGCCCATCAGGGAGCTCGGGAGGAAATCCTGGTGGCGTCACCAGAGGCTTCTTTTTCCCTTCTCCAGCCGCACCACCCTCCTGGTGGAGCTCTCCTGTGAGGACAGCCACGGGCTGAGCTACGTGCCCGGAGAGCACCTCGGGGTTTGCCCGGGCAACCAGCCGGCCCTGGTGCGAGGCATCTTGGAGCGAGTGGTAGATGGCCCTGCACCCCACCAGCCTGTGCAACTGGAGAGGCTCAGTGAGAGTGGTAAGACCACTGCACGGTGGCCCCAGCATCCCACCCCCTCTCCCCACCCCGGCAGCCCCCCAACTCCGCTGATGGGCTGGTCCCGTGCCTGGGCTGTGGGCACCTAACCCTGTCCTTCCTGCTGAGTGGGTGGGCCACCCAAGCCCGTGCTGATGCAGTTTGGCCAACAGAAGGGATGCTTCTTTGGGGCTCTCTGCCCAACCCCAGAGGTTGGGGAGTCTCTTTCCCTTCATTCTTTTGCTCACCCAGCCACTTTTTTGTTAACGGATGGATTCATTTATTTTTGCATCAAAATTTTAACCAGTTGGTCGCATCTATATACTAGGCAGGCCCTGGGCTACAAAAACGAATGAGACTCAGTGTCCACACTCAGAAAGCTCACTACCTAGTACAGGAGGCAGATAGGCAAGAGTCTCCTCCTCCTCCCCCTCCTCCCCCTCCTCCCCCTCCCCCTCCTCCTCCTCCTCCTCCTCCTTCTTCATCACAGTAGCAGCTGGTATTTGTTCGGTAATTACTAGATGCCAGCATTTTATAGGCCTTGTCTCTTCAGGACCCACAATAAACGTGTGTGTGCACTTCACCTGATGACATAATGGAGAGATGTGGGAACAGTGTAAAAATGCTGAGCTTCGAAGGTTAGAGTCCCTGAGCCATCGGGGACTAGCATCACTAGCTGTGTGAACTTGGGCCTATAAGCCAACCTCTCGAGGCTTTATTTCTTTGTCTCTAAAATGGAGATAGGAGAGCCTTCCTCGTAAGGTGGTAGTAAAGACCAAATGAACAGATACACATGCAAACTTCACCACAATTCCTGGCACCAAATAAATGCAGGAATGGAGAAATGTTCATCTCCTACAGGCTAATGAACATTTGTCCAGAAGCTCAGAGAAGGGAGAGTCCCCTTGGATTCCAAAGTGCGTAACCCCCTTGCATGTTCAAGGCATTCTAACCTACGGCTCCCCCACTGAGGGTCTTATTTGCCCCCATCTCACTTGGCCAGCGGGCAGGGGCAGACTGTGGGTGACCAGGGGAGTGAGACTCCTCCCGGCCATCCTCACCTGGGAGAAGACGCTGTCCTCGCAAGGGCCTGGAGCACCCCCTTCCCGTGCTCTGGTGAGGTTCAATCTATGTGGGGAGCAGAGCACAGTGGTGGTGGGTACTGGGAGAGATGAGCTAATGAAATCAACCATCATGAGCCTCCCAGCCCATAGGAATAGCTCGCTGGCCTTAGTGATAATCTTGCCTCCAAAGAATGTGTACCCCCCAAAGAGAGTGACCACATCAGGAAAGTGGGGGTCAGAGAAGCAAAGTATAGCATTGTCTCCCACCGTCCAGGAGAAATGTGAGCGAGGGGACAGAGATGTCCTTGTGACTCTAGGAAGACAGATGTGGTCCATTCAGGCCTTGGGTCTGGGTGAAATAACGCAATAGTACTATTTTTACCTAACGTGTATTGAGCATGTGTGTACTAGACACTGTACTATTATATATACACCATTCTGTTCAATGCTCATACGAACCCAGGGAGACAGGTTTTGTTATCACATCCGTTTTACAGAGATGGAACCCAAGGCTCAGAGGGCTTAATCACCTGGCTATTAAGTGAGGAACCAGAGTTCAAACCCATGTCTGCTGGCTCCAGGGTCCACACTGTGACCACCCCGCATACTGCCTCTTGGGACTCCTTGGGACTTGACACTTTGGGCTGATTTGCTGCTCACCCAGTACCTGTTGGTATAGCCCCAGAGGACTGTAGTCATGGGCTTTTCTCTAAATGAATAACTGGCCTCTGGGGTGTATATCAGTCTTTGGTGAATTTAGTCACTGTGAGTCTGTAGTTCACCTATGGGTGTTTTGCTATAGTTCAGGTCTGAACCAGAGAGGGACTGAACTCTGGTGCATAGTTGATTTTCCAGGATCATGTCAACTTGGGTGCCCTTTGGAGGGCTGTTGATCGGCCTTCCCTGGCAGCGCTACCTCTGGGCACATGGACACTTTCACAGTTCCTGGAGCTAGAAAGTCAGTGTCTCTCCCCTGCAGCTGTAGGGTGGAGGGTGTCTTCCCCAGAGGCCTCATGACCCTTCAGGAGACTGAAATAGGGCCTTTTTGTCATTCTGACTCCTTTTTTTTCCCTGTCCAGGAAGCTACTGGGTCAGAGACAAGCGGCTGCCCCCATGCTCACTCAGCCAGGCCCTCACCTACTTCCTGGACATCACCACCCCCCCTACCCAGGTGCTGCTCCGAAGGCTGGCACAGCTGGCTACGGAAGAGGCCGAGAGGCAGAGGCTGAAGGTCCTGTGCCAGGTGAAGATTGGGCCAGTGGGTGAAGGAAGGGCAGGGTCCCAGAGTCAGGGGAAGCCAGAACCCAGAGCTGGTCTTTAACCTCCAAGGGGGAATCCGACCCATCTTCCCAAAGCGAGCCTTGTCAAAGCTGGTGGGAAGTCAGTATCGTCTCCCACACCATCTCTAGCACACAGTTGTGGTGAGTGACCTGAACTTTTCTGAGTGTCTGCAGGATGCTACCAAAGCATACTTTGTTAGAAATTACCTAGAAAAGGAGAGCCACTCTGTCTTGTCTTTGTATATTCCCCAGACCTGGCATAAGCAAGGAACTTAGGAAGTGCTGGAGGATGGATGGTGAGGATGAATGGAGACGTGGACACGAGAGAATGCATTAACTCCCTGGCAACTTTCTAGGCCCGTGCTTTTGCAAAAGGCACTGGATGGCATCCTATCCATCATCTTTCTCACTAGTTATCTCTATTCCAGCCATTATCCTGTGGCTGCAGTGTACTAACTCGGCACACATGCTCTCATTTCGTTCTCATGACGTTCCCATGAGGGAGGTGACGCTATCCTCATGTCACAAAGGTTAAGATTGGGACAAGATCCCACAGCTAGTAAGGGCACCCAGTCAAGATGCGAACCCAGGTCTGTATGATTCCAAAGCCCGGTCCAAAATTAGATTGTAATAAGGATTTGACTGCTGCCAACCAGTGGCTGACGGTGAAGTTCTAAGCACACGAATTAAATAAACGCAACTCACGGGCCTGAGTGCTTCCAGGAAAGGCACCCTTTTTCTCTCCAGCACCTTGGACAGCACCTGGCTCTTGGACGTGTTGGTTGAGGGAACCAACGTGTGAATGAATGAATGAATGCTGGATTGTGACAGCCTCCTGCCTCCCTGTGAGCGTGTGCCCTGAGTCACTCACACTGCTCTTGGCTTTCAGCCCTCAGAATACAACAAGTGGAAGTTCACCAACAGCCCCACATTTCTGGAGGTGCTAGAGGAGTTCCCATCCCTGCGGGTGTCTGCTGGCTTCCTACTCTCCCAGCTCCCTATTCTGAAACCCCGGTACTACTCCATCAGCTCCTCTAGGGACCGCACACCCACGGAGGTCCACCTCACAGTGGCTGTGCTCACATACCGCACTCGAGGTAAGGCTTGGCAGAGGCTTTGGAGCAGAGTCCAACTCTGCTACTTCCTGGGCGGCAGTTCAACATCTCTGAGCTGTGGTCTCCTTGTCAGTTAAAAACCCACCTCCCAGGGGCGCCTGGGTGGCTCATTTGTTAAGCGTCTGCCTTCGGCTCAGGTCATGATCCCAGGGTCCTGGGATCGAGCCCCGCATCGGGGTCCCTGCTCCGTGGGGAGCCTGCTGCTCCCTCTCCCACTCCCCCTGCTTGTGTTCCTTCTCTCGCTGTGTCTCTCTCTGTCAAATCAATAAATAAAATCTTAAAAAAAAAAAACCCCACCTCCCAGAGTGTTAATAGCAGTAGCAGGTGTGTGGCAGAGACTACTATGAACCGGGTGCTAAGCAAACCTTCTGTATGTATATATATTAGCAGTAACCGCATGAGATGGGTACTGTTTGCATTTTAGGGTGAGGAAGCTGAGGCACAAAGAGGTTAAGCCCCAGAGTTGCACCGTGAGCAACTAGGGAACTGGATTCGAACCCACGCAGTCCTACTGCTGGGTCCATCCTGCTTCGCTCTGCGGCCCTACTACCGCTGGGACAATGTAATGAGATCACATGGAGAAAGCACCTCCGGGTACTTAGTGGGAGCCCAGTGATTCTTAGTATACCTGATAGTCTAGCCGGGTGCAGGGTTGATGATGCCTTGATTGCTCACTCACTCAGTGATGGCTTATTTCATATCTCTCTGTGCTTGCCATGATGGTGGGCGTGGAAACACAGCACTTGTAGCTTCTGACCTCGTGGAGCTTCCCGTCTAGAGGGGGTAGTGAAGAGAGACTCATCAAAATAGGCAGTTGTCATGATGTGGGTGCTAAGAAGCACGGGGTGCTATGAGGGCAGAGGATAGGGGATGGGCTAACAGAGACTGGGAGGTCCAAAACCTTGTCTACTTGGACTTGGCTACTACACTGGATGGACTGTGCCCTTGTCCTGCCCTCTGTAACTGAGCACTGCCTGGGTTGGCAAAGCTGCGTGCATAGCACGGTCACGCAGTTTCCAGATGATGGGCAGACTCTGCCTGCTCTGCTGGACAACATCTTCGCAGGTCAAGTTTCAGGGCTCAGACAGCGAGAGGGGAGGTGGGTACATCTTGTGAGAGCCAGATCCCATTCAGAGGGAAAAAGGGAGTTCTTCTCAGGTTGGTTGGGATAGCTTTAAATGCCGGGCCTTTGGGAAGGGAATGTAACCTGGAGCAAGTGGGGGTTTCCACAGGCCCAGGAGGGGCCCCCAGGGAGGCAGGGTGTCAGAGCAGACCAGAATGCTCAGGAAGCTGTCCATCGCTCAGAGCTCCTACCAGCAAGGGCTTTACCTCATGAAGACGGTGGCGCATTGACTGCCATCGGAGCTGAGTGGTGGGCCGGGAGGGTCCCTGGGGAAACTCTTGGAAGGAGCATTAGAGTAGGAGTCAGGGAAGCTGAGCTGTCATCTGATTTTACTGCTACCTGAGTGACCTTGTACACATGCCTTCTCTGAGACTGTTCCTGGAGTGGCAGAAGGAGAAGCTGGCCCACTCTTGATGCACCTTTCAGCTTTCCCCAGCTCTGGCTGCATAGAGGGTGGACCACAGAACCGGGAGAAGAATTGCCCCCTCCCTAAAGCCCACAGGGAGCCTGAGTGGACACTCCCAGGAGGCTCATTGGTCTGGGGGGAGCCTCTGGGACAATTCGCCCCCTGGGATGGGGGCGGTGGGGGATGATGTTGGTCAAGTCTGTGTTGTCCTTGCAGATGGCCAAGGTCCCTTGCACCATGGTGTCTGTAGCACATGGCTCAGCAGCCTGAAGCCCCAAGACTCAGTACCCTGCTTCCTGAGAAGGTAAGCACCCCCTCCACTCTGTCCATTGTGGTGCCACTGGCCCCTGGGAGTTCTGGTTTGAAAGGGAGGGATCTGGGCCCTTGAAGAAGGCGTTGGGGTCACACTGGGCCTCTGCATTCTATCCCCTGGCAATAGAGCATGGCCAGGTCTCCGGTAGGAACAGAGAGGACAGCAGTGGGGGGGCCCCGGAGTACAATGAGGTTCCGCCTTTTTCCAAAAGGAGCCCACGACGAGGTGAGGGTGTGTCTGGACAGGGGAAGCAAAGCAGCCCCCAGGACTTGGGAGATCACATTTGAGCTCGTTGTCTTCTCCACCCCCACCACACTGCCCCGCTGCCCCCACGGCACCCCCAGCTCCCCAGCCCCTGTCCAGCGTGTTCATCCATCTCCGGGTGTCTGAGGACTCAGCCTCTCCATCTGTCCCCTTCAGTGCCGGCAACTTCCAGCTCCCCGAGGACCCCTCCCATCCTTGCATCCTCATCGGACCTGGCACAGGCATTGCCCCCTTCCGTGGTTTCTGGCAGCAGCGGCTCCATGACACCAAGCACAAAGGTACAGTTAGGGGGTTCCCTGGCATCTCCCTGGGGCCTCCCTGGGGTTGTGCCCACTCTCCCATTTGCCTCAGCCTGTGTGGACAAATGATCTGAATGCCCTGGGCCTCAGTTTCCTCATCTGTAAAGGGGGGTACAATACTAGATTTGCGGGCAGGAGATGAGAATTCAAGTCGGCTGTCTGTCGGGCAGGGCAGGCCTTGACCCATACCTCGCCCTCTGGTGGCCACCCTGGTAACTGCAGCCCACTGGGTCTTGCAGAGCTCCAGGCCGGCCGCATGACCCTGGTATTCGGGTGCCGCCGCCCAGATGAGGACCACCTGTATCGGGAAGAGATGTTGGAGATGGCCCAGAATGGGGTGCTGCATGAGGTGCACACAGCCTATTCTCGCCTGCCCGGCCAGCCCAAGGTAAATGCGGCAGCTGCCCATGCAGTGGGTGGAGCATTACAAGCCCAGACTAGTGGGCGCCCCCGCTCCCCACAAGCCCCTCGCTCTCCGAGCCTGCATCTGAGCTCTAAAACAGTCCCACACCCGTCACAGCAATGCATTCACTCTGCCAGGAGAAGAGACGGGCCCTGAGACATTGAGGACTAAACAGGGTCACACGGTGGGTTAGTCCCAGCACCCAGCTGGCTGAAAGCCCTCGCCTGGGATACACACCTGCCTGGGATGACGTGGCCCAGGCTCCACCACGCCCTGCTGATGGTCCCTGCTGCCCTCGGGGGCACTTAGCCCCATGAACGTGGGGAGTCAGGATAGATGCTCGCCTCAGGCCTTGGGAATTTGTTCTGTCTGGGCTCCTCCCAGGCCCAGTGTTTTGTGTCCAGTGCTGGGGTCACTGGGCCTCTTGTGGGGAACAAGAGCAGAGGCTCCTAGACTTCTGTGTAACTGGGGAGCCCAGTACTCTGTGCCCTGCTCTGAATTACCCTGGGGGTTCCACGAGCGGTCTGCACGGAGAGGCTCCTGTTCTGGGGTGTACACAGGCGGGCCTCAGAGCCTGGGCAGGGGAAGTGATTTGACAGATGCCTCTTTGAAGCATGATGAATTCGAAGTCAATGCAGGAGCCTCACTGAATGGTCAGCTTCCTGAGGGCGGGGCGGTGGCCAACATTCATCTCTCGAGCCCCAGCCCGGCCCTGAGCTGGGCAGGATGCCAGTGCCCCTCATCCTGAGCCTGATCCCGCGGCAAGGTTCTGGCTGGGAGGGTCTCCGCCCTGCAGCCCATCGTGCCCCTCGCTGCCTCCTCCTGGCCAGCAGACCTAACTGCAGGCTTCACCGCCGGCAGCAGGGGCCTGGACCCACCATCTCCTCTGGTTTCAGGTCTATGTTCAAGACATCCTGCGGCAGCGGCTGGCCAGCGAGGTGCTCCGCGTGCTCCATGAGGAGCATGGCCACCTTTATGTCTGCGGGGACGTGCGTATGGCCCGGGATGTGGCCCATACCCTGAAGCTCCTGGTGGCTGCCAAGCTGAGCCTGAGTGAGGAGCAGGTGGAGGACTATTTTTTCCAGCTTAAGGTACGGCATCTGGTGTGTGGGCTAGCATGCAGCTCAAGGCCACGGGTGGGGGAGCCAGGACCAGGAAAGTCAGGCCTAGGGGAGTCAGGCTCAGGATAGGCCTGAAACTCAAAGGAACCCTAGAGGTGGCTGGAGGTCCGAGCTAGATGGGCTCTTAGAAGGCCTACCCGTCTCTCCTGGTCCAGTTGCTCAGTTAAACAAAGGCAACACGTTGCTTGGTGACAAGACTCCTCAGAGCCTCTAACACGCTACCGTGCATCGGGACTCCTCAAGACTGGGAGGAAGTATGCAGCATTTTCCAAACGTATTTATCTCAGAGCCCCCATTTCCTGGAGTATCTTGGGGGACAGGTACGAGGAGGGCTCAGAGAGCTGTTCGGGCAGTTCATGGCAGTGCAGGTGCTGATGGGAGTTAGTCTAGTGGGATTCAATTAAACTTCTAAGCGTCCCAGTTGTGAAGGCGGATGGCTCATGAGTGTAGGTGGGATAAGGAAGCTGGGGGAGCCCCAGGGCTCGTCCTTGCCTGGACCTGATGAATGAGAGGTGGCTGGATCGGCAGAGCTGACACCCTGGTTCTGTTTTCCCTTAAAGAGCCAGAAGCGCTATCATGAAGATATCTTTGGCGCTGTGTTTCCCTATGAGGTGAAAAAAGATGGGGCAGCAAGGCAGCCCAGCGATCCCAGAGTTCCAACAGCCCACGGGAGAAGTTAAAGTTGCTGCCACAGGACTTAATGATGGAGCCAACTCTCAATTATCTGAGGTCACAGGGCCTGGGGAGATGGAAGGAAATTATATGCCTGAGCCTCCTGTCTCCTTCCCCACCAAACCCGCTACTTGACCTGCTACTGAGTCGTGGCAGCCTGGACTGAGTGGAACCTCTTGTCGCCCGTGAGCCCACCCTTCCCGGATAATGGAGAGTTGGGCCTTCCCAGGTCCCTTGAAGACTTAATCGTCAGTGCCAGGCCCGGCTGGTGGGTAAAAAGGATGGAACCTTCTTCTGACTGCACCACTCTGAGGGACCACAGGAGGCGCTGTCGTGCTGCCCTGTATTTAGGCGCCCTGTGTACAGTTATTTATAACTCTGTATTTAAAAAAAAACAAACCCCAGTCTTCTCTAAAGGGCCCATTGGGCCTTCCCCGTATGACTCCTTGATGGAGATATTTATATGAAATGCATTTTATTTTAACCACATTGTATGTGTGCAGGGGTGTTTTGTAGGGAAAGCAACTCCGTTCTACAGAGTTGGGGACTGGTGGGTGGTGCAACCTGGACCCAAATCCCCCACAGAGGGATATACTAGCTTGGCCACGCTGCTTCTTGAAATGGCCACCAGGTATGGGGCGGCCTGTGGAATTTTGTGCACACCTATAGTCCTGCAATGGGGGGTGGTGAGGAGGCTAGGCTTGCCTGTGGGGCCTTGGCTGTGTCTTACACCGGTGCACCTCACACGGGGCTCGCCTCACCGGGGGTGCACCTCACACGGGTCTCACCTCACCGGGGGTTCACCTCACACGGGGCTCGCCTCACCGGGGGTTCACCTCACACGGGGCTCGCCTCACCGGGGGTTCACCTCATAGAGGGCTCGCCTCACACGGGGCTCACCTCAGACGGGGTTCACCTCAGACTGGGCGCATCTCACACTGGGCCTGTCTCACACGGGGCTCACCTCACCCTGGGCCCGTCTCACACGGGGCTCACCTCACACGGGGCTCCCCTGATCCGGGGCGCACCTCACACTGCCTGGTATGCCAGCTCCTCAGGGAAGGCCTTGACCAACAATCCCCTCGTAGAAAGTCGCCATGTTTGGCTCTGGGGCTGCCTGTTTCATGAGAGTTGGGCCAATAATAATTTGGCACCTGGGTGACAAAGCAGGTGGGATCGGACTGTGTGTCAAAGACGTGGCAGTGAGTGAAGGACACGTATCTTCCGTGGGGAAGACTTCTTAAGGGGCTGAGCCATGTTTCCTTCTCTTAGAATAAGGAAGGAATGCAGCCAGGGGCTAAGTGGGGGGCTCTGAGAAAATCAGGCTCCCAGCTTGGGTTTGGCCTCTGTTTCATTGGCTCCCTGGCCCACTTCTCCCCTACGCAGATGGGGTGAGGGGGGAGAAGGAGGCATGCCGGCCGCCAGTGCCCCGGCAACGCACCTGAACAACGTGCTCAAGAACACGGGCACCCAGGCCGGTGCCTCTCCCCTCTCAGCTGCACACAAACCCCCTGGGATCTTGCTCCCAGGCGGACTGATTCTGGAGGCCTGCGGCAGGGCCGGGGATTCTGCCTTCCTGACAGGCTCCCAGGTGCTGCTGGTCCCAGGACGATGCTCGGAGCCCCAGCCTGGTTCCAGAGGCACTGGATTCTTGGTGGAGGCAGCAGGTTGGGTTGGCATCATGAGGACACAGAACCGGCCCCCTGCGCTGCCCCAGTGGCTGGTAGAAGCCGACACGCTGAGTCACTCTCCTCACCACACCCTAACCCCAAACACCAGGACCCGCAGTGGAACAACACAGACAGGTGTCAGCTTGAGTCAGCTTCTCCTGACACCACGCCTGCCACCTCCTCCCCCTGGGACGGAGGGTTCTGACGAGCCAGCCCTGCCATTTGGCCTTCCGGCCCAGCCCTTGGCCCGTCTCAGAAGTGTGAGGCTATCTGCCGGGTTCACCTGTTACCAAGCTTCGTGCATCACAGACGCCGGCCCAGGAGGCCCGAGCCCAACCTGCTTTCTCCCACCCATGTGGGGGGTTTGTGGGGACCCCCCCTGGGAGCAGGTGTGGATGTCAGGACCCACCCCATCAAAGTGAGCTCATGCTCTCTGCCCCCCTGCCCTCACCCAGAACCTCCCCAGTTCCAGAGACTCCAAAATGTTCCAAACCCATTTAATAACCACAATGACCCCATACATATGTGCCAACAAGCATTTGTCTTTCTCTGAAAGAGCAAAGAGAAGAGCGCCCTGTTGAGAAAGATGCTGTTAGCTGATGGAGGCCAGGGGAGTGTCAGGCTATCTTTCCTGGAGTGGGGAGGGTGGGACCCAGGTGTGAGGAAAGGCTGAAGGTAGGAGAAAGGGGAAGGGCCCAGGAGGCCGCCTCCAGGGGCTTGAGACGGAGAGGATCGGTGGGGGTGGCAATGTGGCTGAGAGCGTAGGGTGTGGGCCTGGTCTGGGAGCTCCCTTTCTGTCAAGGGGACTGAACACGGGGCTTAGCCCGCAGGGACCACCGGCCTCTCCTCAGCCGGTAGGATTTGGGCAGCCG